CCAGACCAGCCTGGGCTACACAAGACCTTGTCTCAAAAGAGGCGTGGAAGAGGAGTGTGAGAGGGAAACAGGCCATGGTAGCCATGAATTTCCTCCTCCATAAGGAAGAGAAATGCCTTCCACTGCTGGCTTCACCCCTGCCCCATCCCTGCCCCACCCATACTAACCAGCCCCTCCTGCCCACCCAGCATCGTGTGCACACCATCCTAAGCGCAGATTTGGTGATGGTCCTGAAGCGGGGTGCCATCCTGGAGTTCGACAAGCCGGAGAAGTTGCTCAGCCAGAAGGACAGCATCTTCGCCTCCTTTGTCAGAGCAGACAAGTGACCTGCCAGCACCGAAGTGCCATCCCACATCCCACCTTGCCCCATCCTTGCTCGCCTGAGTTTTCTAACTATAAATCACTTGTAAATAAAGAAATCAATTCTTTCCTACTGGAGGTCCAGGCTCTGTGAAAAGGGCTATGGAGCCCTGTGGTGCAGGGAGCCTTTGGCACCAGGCAGACTTGAAGATATCATGTGAACACAGGGAGATACTTGTTTCTGATTTATGTCAAGCAGCCCTAGCTGCCATAACAAAGTACCACAGACTGGGTGGCTTAAAGAGCAAAAACTCAGCCAGGTGTGGTGCTGTACTAATTATCCCAGCACTCAGAGGCAGAGGCGGGTGGATCTCTGAGATCCAGGCCAGCCTGGTCTACATAGTTAGTTCCACCTTAGCTGCGGCTACAGGGAGACCCTGACTCAAAAAGACTGAAAACTGGGGGCGGGCGGGGGCAGTAAAAATTCATTTCCCTAGTCCTGGAGGCTAAGGGACAAAATCAGTGTGTTGGCAGCTTTGTTTTCTCGTGAGCTCTCTCCTCTCTCTCTTTCTCTCTCTCTCTCTCTCTCCTCTTTTTCCTCTCTCTCCTCTCTCCCCTCTCTCTCCTCTCTCTCTCTTTCTCTCTCTCTCTCCTCTCTCTCCTCTCCCCCTTTCCCCTCTTTTAGATACCAGTCATATTGGATTAGTCCCTGCCCATGACCACACTGAATCATATTTGACGGTGAAATTCAATCCACAGCAAGGGTGTTAGCATTTCAGTGGTGACCCCATCAGGGAAGATAACAGATCTCCATCCAGGTTGGCTTCCTTCCTGTTCAATCTCATTCTCAGGTTCTAATTGTGGGATCTGGCACTGGGGATCACCCCAGTAACAGGAAGTCTAGGTGGCTCAGACAAGAACTTGAATTCATTGTGGTATGTGACCCAAAGACCAGGAGGTCTGTTACTTCAAACTTGGGTGACTCCAGGTTTCTGACAGGGTGGTATCTCCATATCTGGGTCCCATTCTCTCTCTGTATGGGTCTCTCCCTCCCCTTGTGGGCTGTTGGCCAGTGAGCACAATGGAAAAGACTTTCCAGGGAGTCAGATTCAGTGATACAGCTCCGTTTATTCAGTGGGGATCAGGGAAAATATAGTGTGGAGGCAGCAGCCAAAGCTTCAGCTGATAGGTGCTCACAGTGTGCTTTATTTACATGTGGTAGGGGGAGCCTATCATCCGGCTATAGGGCAATGCCTAATTATCATATAGAAAAAACCTGGGGGCAGTTTTATTGCCGGTAACTATGCCAAAGGTCATGTTCCAAATAAGGTCAGGCATCCATGCTTAGAGGCATGTTCCTGGTAAGTCAGGCAGAGAACTGGAGGCCCCTGCTAAGAAAGGAGTTGACCTTAACAGCAGGGTTCCCCAACATCTCTCTCTCTCTCTCTCTCTCTCTCTCTCTCTCTCTCTCT